GCTTTTCATTCCTCCTTTCCATACATTTCCCTAGCAGGCAAAAATTCCACAGGCGTCGCTCGTCCCCTCTTGCTTGCTTGCTTGCTTTTATTTATTTATTTTTAAGTACCCCGCCTTTTTTCTGTCAAAAAGGACCCCAGGGAGCTCACATGCAGGGGAGACAGCAAGGTGGAAAGCTGAAACCAAGGAGTAAACAAAGGTGGTTTCCATCCTTAAAAGGCCATATTTAAAGCTAAGAACGAGGAGTCTCTGAAAGACAGGTTACCTCAGGAAAAGACGACATTAAAGTTAAAGCAAGAAGCCCTGCCAGTGCTAAGAAGGGACAAACAAATGCCACTCTGAGAGATGCTAAACACAAATAGGACTAAAGACCCAGTCACAGCAGTGATGCATAAAAATCCATTTGAAAAATTATTTAAAATAGTTTTATCCCATCATTCTCTTTAAAAGGGAACGAAAGTGGTTCACATCCTTAGAGGACAATATTTAAAGTTGAAAACAATATGTAAATCTGGCACTTGCGTTTTTTGCCTGGCATGCAATGGCTTAAAAACATTGGCCGGGATTTATGCGCCTTCCCAAAAAAAGGGCAGTCCCCTCTCCCCATGGAATTATTTTTATTGCCCAGGAGGGGGAGAAGGTTCTTCCTTTGCTCATTGAAATTTGTGGGGCCTAAACAAATCTAATGAATGATACCCCCTCATTTTAAGTTGTTTTAGCCAATTGCTTTTGTTGGAGGGTAGCTTTTAATGTCATTACTCAGCCTGAGCCCCAGGCATACGCAGTCCCGAAAAGTGGCCATGGGGACCCATGCTTTAGTTACATACTGGCTGGATTTACTGTACTATAAAGGGCAGTACATGGAGCTGCCTATGGAAATTGTTCGGAAACTTCAGCAGGTCCAAAACATAATAGTCAGATTGCAGAAAGGAGCAAGTTACAGGGGTGACATACAGTAAGCCTCTGTTAACAGCAGCAGCACTGGCTGCGGATCCGTTTCCAGACACAATTCAAAGTTCTGGTTTTGACCTCAAGCCCTAAATCAGTGGTTCTTAACCTTTGTTACTCGGATGTTTTTGAACTGCAACTCCCAGAACCCCCAGCCAGCACAGTTGGTGGTGAAGGCTTCTGGGAGTTGCAGTCCAAAACTCCTGAGTAACCCAAGGTTAAGAACCAGTGCCCTAAATGACTCAGGCCCAAGCTACCTAAAAGACTGCATCTCCCTTTATGAGCTTGCTTGAGTTTTAAGATCATCAGGGGAGGCCATTTTCTCCAACCCAACACCTTCACAGGTACACTTGGTGGGGACACCTTTTCTGGCACTGCACCCAGATGTGGGAACGCCCTGCCACTGGAGGCCAGGCTGGCCCCATCTTGGTTGTCCTTCCATAAGTGGGCAAAGGCTTTCCTTTAGTGACTGGCTGCCTGGGTGGGGTTTTTAAATGGATTGTTGACCATATTACTTTGTATCTTTTTTTTGTATTGATATTGTTTACTGTTTGTTTGGTTCTTTTTAATATTTGTATAACTACTGTGTTTAGCTTTAAATGTTGCCTTTAAATGATGTAAGCCACCTTGGGTCCCTTTTAAGGAGAAAGTACAAATATTTTAAATAAATAATAAACTGCATTTGCTTCTGCCTTCTTGCTGTTGCTTTTTGGGTCCTTTCCTCGCTTCCCTTGCAGGTCATCCCAGTGTGAACATAAGTGTAATTTCAGTAGTTTTTGCATGCAACACATTTAGGCAGTTTGCACCGTATGGGGAGAGTGTTTCAGAGACCGGACACCAAAGCTTAGAAGGCCATCTTTGTGGTGCCAGTTCTCCTGAATTCCACTTGCCCCACCCTAATTCCTTCCTTGCACAGTACACCAAATCGTTCGAGCAGTGGGTGTGTTTGCAGGCACACTTTTGCTTCCAGGGAGTGGCAGTGAAGGTTAACAGACTTTACAGCCGGCTGGACTTCTCTAAAACTCTGTACAGTAGTCAGTGGCCAAGGATTCTTTAGCAGAGAGTCAACAAAGAAAAACATTGGTTGAAAGTGAAAGTATGAAATCCACTTCCATAGGCACAGGATTAAGGTCAGAACAGAGATAGCCTGGAGCAGTGTCTGAGGATGAAGAATGTTATTCGAATGCTGTTTTTATCTTTATATTCTGTAAGCCACCCAGAGTAGATTCCCAAATCTATATGGACAGAGTAAAGATGGAACAAATAAATAAATAAATACCCACGAGAAACAACACCAGCTTTTAAGAAGTACCTTATATACACTGCTGTGCATTCTGGACTCTACAAGATGGCATGGAATTGTGGATTTTTATGCAGGCAGCTATAAAAACAACAACCAGAAGCCATCACAATGTGGATTATAAGCAGACGCAAGGAAATGTGTTAGATGAAGAGGGCCGCCAATGAAGAAATACTCACCCTAAGATTAAAGAGCAACAAAGTTAGAATACTGGGTGCATGTGATGCAAAATTAAAAACGCAGATTGTTACAGTTGATCATTCAAATAAACTGGACAACAAGCGGAGAAGGAAGAAGCTCTTTAGCTTGAAGAACCTGGGAGGTTTGCTGGTATGCGTCATGCCATCTTTGTTTAGAGGTGCCCCATCCAAGGTCAGAAGAGACAGGATGAGGTTTCAAGTAGGAAAGGAATAACAAGTTAAAGAGGGGGGAAATATTGTTCAAATGAGGAGAGCAATGAGCAATTCCATGCCTGCAATAGTGCCTTTTAAATCCACCCTTAAGGTCATGTTAATTAAATAATTTGGTGACCTCTAGTCAAGTGGATAGGGTTGAAAGAGCAACAGAGGCCAGAGTTTGGAAAGAATTACTAATTACAACTCACATCATTATCAGTAACTAGCTGCTTTTGAGGTAAAGTGGGAAGCAACAACTAGTTGTAATGTTACTTTTCAGAGGTGATAAACCACACCTAAGCTCCGTTGATGTCATGAGCAACATCGCTCTCAACATTTACTTTCAAGGGCATTTAAAGACATCTTCAGAAGCGTTTTTGAGATGATTCCCACCCCCCAGGTTTTACACTATTCTCTTAGCGATCCTGAGAGGCAATTTTTATTTTAAAAGTTTTTAATTTATTTTAATTTTTATTTTAAAAGTACACTGTCAGAGCTGACCACTAAAGGAAACCAGACAGTATCTCCCTGTATTTTTCTAGCCGCCTGTGGATAGGGACAACCCATGGTGGCCATCGAGTTCCACAGAACAAATGGCTTGCACCGTATGAGTAAGCCTATCCTGCTCCTGAACTACAGAAAAGCAATTATTAACTTTACCAGCTTCTTTTAAAATGAAAGTTTCTGAGCTCTCATCTCGGTCTGCCTCGAACATATCCCTCGTCTTGTCCAGGCAGTTTATTTCCTTCTCATCGAAACTGTCAGAGGGGTTCGCCGGACTCTTTCCCTGTGTCTCTCTCACCCTCTCTTATGATGTTGCTCATGGTCCCCTGCATCTGCCGTGAGCGAAAGGTCACAGCGGACCTTGGCCGGGTCACTGCAGGACATTTTCAGATTTAACCCGCCCAAGCAAACAACACAGCTCCGAACAAGAAGGCAACCTCCCGATGCCAGGAAAAGCATGTTATCGATCACGCCACTCTGCGAGAGGCTACGGATGTTCCTGGACAATATTCCCTGCGTGAGGAGATGGGGAGGAAAGAGGTCTCCTCGCCCAGGAAATAGATTGTGGGAGCGCTACTACGGCATCCTTCAGCCACGGCTGCTCCCAAGAAGCTCCCCAGGTGTTGGAGAAACACTGCCTTGCACCACAGCCAGGCCCCCAACCCAGGATATGGGTTTTGCAGTACTTGCTTTTCAGAGTTTCCACAGGTGTTTCTGTTTTTGGCCTGGGCCTGAGGCTCTTGTTGTGTCAGAGGAGAAGAGCCAAGGTCACCTCTCAAGACTGTTAAAATTGCATTCCGTTCTAAGTGCTTGCCAGCCTGGGAACCAGAGCCCGGCCGGTGGAAAGTTGCAAGAGAGGCGTGAACTTGTGAACAAAGGATGGGGTGCCAATTGGATACTCATCACGAAACAGAAACCTTGATTTAAGCTATAGAAAGAGAGGTTAGTGTGTGTGTGTGTGTGTGTCTGTCTGTCTGTCTGTCTGTCTGTCTGTGTCTGTGTGTGTGTCTCTCTCTCTCTCTGTGTGTGTGTGTGTGTGTGTGAGAGAGAGAGAGAGAGAGAGAGAGAGACTGCATTGGAGGAGGAGGAGGTGACAGGTTTAAAGCCTTCCTTGATTGATTAGGAGACTTAGACATGGTTGATTAAAATAGCATGGTAATTAAGTAGTAAAATCATTTGTTAGTTAATAATTTTATTGTTTTACAGGAAAGACTTGCAGGAGCTTACTGTACTTAGGAGTTAGATGCTTGGCATTGAACCAGTATAATCTTTCTGTATTTCTTTTGTTTTGTAACTTTTTACTCTTTTTAAATAAACCTTTGATATTTTTACCCAAGGGTGATCCTTGGGGCCAAATGTGAGCGAGTGCCTAAAGAAAGCACCTTAGCCAGAAGGGCTGTGTTTGCTATTTTTGTTCTTTGGGTGTCCTACCTGGTCAGGCTGGTGTGCAAGATTTAAAGTGCACAGCCAAAGTGTATTTAAGCCCAAATAAGGGAGGAACTGGAAATCTAGGGTCAGAAGCTTGTCCCTCATTGCCCACTCACCCATCTTCTAGGTCTCACCCAACCTAGGAACAAAGGGTGGTGGATGCTGGGAACTAAAGTCATGGCACTTTCTCCTAGTGGAATGACCCCTCTAAGGAGACACATTCCTGACAGGGTGTCCTCTCACCTTGCGACACCTTCCCGCTTGGCGAGCTGATCCTCTCCTTCAGGATAACTCCAGGAAGGCCCCATGGAAGAAGGTTTGCTTCCTTGCAAGGCCAACAATGTCGGTCCAATTTATTAGGGGAGTGGGAGGGAGGGAAAGCCCGCCCGTTCCCTCGTTGTATTGCCCATCTGCCCATCCAAACTGGACACTCTCTCAAAGGCTGATCAACGGGGGTGTCATTATTGTCCTGCTGGCGAGAAACATGGGTTCTAAAATGGGAAGAGGAAAAGGAGGGAAGGGTTCCAGACCCCCCGTCCTTCTGAGCTCCAGTCACTCTGAAATAGAAACCCCTTCTGGTAGAGGAAATATGTAGGATATGGATACGGATTTCCCATGCCAGGAAAATATTTACCTTCTTTCACTACAGCCCTAAAAATGTTTGTGCAGAAGTAAGTCTCCTTGTGTTTTACTGGACTTGGTCATTGGATATAAGACTTTTTCTAAACATACAATAACTTTTTCTTGTTTGTTTCATTAGCTGTATCTGGAGTGCTCCTTTCTTTATGTTGTTTGCCTTGGACATTTTATGGAAAGATTTTTCTTGTAGGCATCCTTCAGTCTTGAGAGACTAGGCTAACGTGCTCTGTATGGAGGACTTGGAACAGCGTCTAGTGTGGCTGAGAAGGCCAATTTGATAGTAACACAATCCCTTCCACAATGAAGACCAATAGAGTCTGTCCCCTGTCCAGCTCCCTGGTTTTGCTGCTTTTGTGACTTCCTCTTTGCCTCGGCCTGCTGGACAAGGGTCTCTTCAAATTGGGAGAGGCCACAATGCACCGCCTGCCTCCAGGCTGAACGCTCAGAGGTCAGGGTTTCTCTTCTGCTTCCCATCAGTCTTTAATCATACCTTCCTCCTTCTTGAGACATAAAATGGTTTACAATATATATATATAGAGAGAGAGAGAGAGAAAGAAAATTAAACTAAAAACACAATAATGTACAGTATTAAAACAGTATGAAATAAACTGTCAGATTAAAACTAATATACACAGTGGAGGAGCCTTGTGGCACAGAGGTCCAAATGCAGTCCTTCAGCCAAAACTCAGCGATGGGATGGTATACCAGCAGCATGCTTTGCTTTTTGACCTGTTGCCGATTTCTCTGCCACAGTCGGGGGGTGGGCGGGGGTGGGCTAACGCAGTTCTGTCGCTGGGAATTCTTGATGGGGGAAAACCTAATCCTCTAAACACTGGGCCCAGGGAGTTTTAGTACGACGACACTGGAAGGGCGACTGGTTGCCTCAACTCTTTCCTACGTTGGCTGGCAAGGGGTCTCCGGGGTTTACTCACAGGTCTTCTCCAGTCCTCCCTGGAAGTGCTGGGGTTCAAACCTGGTGGGGCTTTCTGCGCTGCAGCAGTGGGGCAGGGTGCCACCCCACTTTTCACAGAAGGTTGAAGCAAGTGATAGAGGAAGCCGGGCGCATTCCCCCCACATGCACCAATCTCCTTGGCTTTTTCCCAGGAGCTGGTGGGGGGGCCTCTCTTTTGTCCGGTATGGGTCCCGGGTCTCTTGGCAGACGGTTTAGCAGACCATCAACGCAAGAGGCTGCCAGGAGGCTCCCAGAAAAGTCTCAAGAGCTGGAGTCAGGAAGAAGGGAACGCTGGTACCAAGGAGATGCAAAGCTCCGCCAAGGAAAAACAGAAGAACTTGGATTTGAAACTGGATGATGGAATGGATGATTTCCACTTGAGCCTCCCTTCTCCGCACGGCCTGTAGCGTTTGATGCAGAAGCTGCTCCTTGAATTGAATTCCATGCCTGGATGGTTCTCTGTCTTCTTGTGACCATGAGAAGCATAAAAGAAGCGGTGTGTAAGCCTCCTTTTCACAAATTTACAATCCTTCGCCTGTTTTGTGGTTACTCCCTTGCAACTTCCTCGTTTTCCTCCTCTTGTCCAAGTGCCAAATGGAACAACACCTCCCGTGCCAGGAACCCGGGGCTTGTCGACGCTTCGCCAGAAGTTTACAATCCCATTTTTGTTCTTTAAAAGATCATCCACATTTTTCTTTCATGGCTATAAAAGCAAATGCTGCAATCGGAGTAAATCTTCCAAAAATCCTCTCCTTTCCCCTCGAATAGGTTGTCTTAAGTTCAAAATTAGTGATGCCCAAAGCCAGTGTTTTTTTTTTAATGAGTCTTGACCCTACCTAGAATTCAGGGTATATTTCCCAAAATATTCCAAATACTACATTGTGATTGTAGCATAGAGGCACTGTGGAATTAATTAATATTACTGTTTTATTAATCTGGTTGGCTAGCCAGGTGTTTTGTTAAGGAAACGAAACGGGTTGTTAAGGTTGGTTGTTAGATAGATCAATTTATTCTGACCCAAGCTGGCATATAGTATCATAAAGCAATTGATTTTCCCCAAACAAAACAATGCAGGGGATCATCTCTTGCCCACTGTTGGGAGCAGTGCAGGAATGGTGTGCTCTTAAAGAAGTCAATCAAACCATGTATTTTACAGACTGCCCCAGCCCCCCCCCCAGAGCATTTTTACCTGGACCCCTCTCAAGGGGCTTCTACTTTTTTTAGCGCAAGGATTGTTCTCTTTTGGATCGATTCCAGTGTGTGTGTGATCGCTGGAACTGATCCAAAGCAACGCTTCCTCTTTTGACTTGCCAGTGCGGTGAAGTGGCTTAATAAGCAAGCCACTTCAGGATATTGGCAAAATAATCACTTCCTCCGCTCATCAGAGTGCAGAGGAAGTGGGGGGGGGAGTTTTTTGACCATACATAGACTGCTGCACTACATCAGAAATAAAGAAACAAAGAGAAAACAATGGTCTTGCTTTAAAGGGCTGGTTGAGAAACCACCTGCAGTCTGTATCCATGGCGGTGGCTTTGGCCGCTGGCAGTTTCTTGACTGACCCTTAAACATCGTGCAACTTGTAGGACTTCTGAGCTCCTAAGCTAGGTGTTAAAATAAAAATTAATGGAGCAGAGGTATTGTGTTGGTTTTTTTTTAAAGAAAAAGGTACGATGCCACCTTAAACATTAACAGCTGTATTTCAGTGTGAACATTCTTGGACTTCAGTCTATTTCCTCATAAGCATGCACCTGTATATTTACCCACAAGTTCATGTACACAGAAGACGTGGGTGTGGTAGCTTTATCTACACTTCTAAAATATTTATTTCGGAGGTGTCTTGGCAAAAGGTAGAGTGATTAACAGTCAATCAGGGAAGCATCCAGCTGTCTTTGAAGTGCAAACATTTTGCTTCTTTGTATTCTGGGCTGGGATCTGAAGGTTGTTGTGGGGTTTTTTGGGCTCTTTGGCCATGTTCAATAATCTCTCCCTCTTATCACAACAATACAGTGGTGCCCCGCATGACGATGATAATCTGTTCCATAGAAATTGCTGTTTAGCAAAACATTGTCTTGCGAAAACCGGTTCCCCATTGGAATGCAGTGAAACCCGTTTAATGCATTCCAATGGGGAAAAATCGTCCTCGTTCTGCAAAGATCGCCCATAGGGAAGTCATTCTGCGAAGCGCCGATCAGCTGTTAAAATGGCTGCCTTGCGAAGCATCTGTCCTGAAAACACCCATTTTGCGAAGTGCCGATCAGTGTTAAAATCATTGTCTTGCAAGAAATGGTTTGTGAAGCAGGGACCCAAACATCGTCCAGCGAAAATCACCCATTGGAATCACTGTTTTGCGAATCGCTATAACGATCACAAAACCTCATCGTCATGCGGATTCATCATTTTGCGAGGTCGTCATCTAGTAAGGTACCACTGTACACCCACAACAAAAAAACATGCTGATCACCACAATCACCCAATCTCCTGAAAAGGACAAAAGCTGATCCCACAGCTATAAATATTCAACTATCCAAACAAACTGCATCAGAGCACAGACAGAGTTCTGACTCCTGTCTTCTGAAGATGCTGGGCCACAGAGACGAGCGAAACGTTAGGAAGAACAACCTTCAGAACATGGCCATAAGAGCCCGGAAAACCCACAACAACCATTTTGCTTCTTTGCTTGGTGCTTATTTTTGGTTCATTCTTGAAAGAAAGTCTGATTCTGAGACCAAAGAAAAGAACTTGTCTATAGACAACATTGTAAAGAAAGTGGTATGTTATGTGTAATTCAGTCACTTCTGATTTTTGCTGACCCTAACAGGGTTTTTTTAAAGCATGTGAAATATTCAAGGAGTGGCTTGACCAGTTCCATCCCCCAGGGAGTTTCTTTGTAGCTAACTGAGTGGGGATTTAAACCAAGATCTTCTGAGTCCTAGTTCAACACTATTATTTACAACACCTTTCTGTTTCTCATCAACCAACCAACCCAAGCTTATTAGTATGTACAGTGAGCTAAAAAAAACCTTGGTCTTTATTTAAGCCTTTAGGTGCATCCTGGAATGTATAGCTGTCTGCTACCTTAACTGTTTTTCTACAATTGTCAGTTGGAGTTTGTTTGTTTGTTTGTTTATTTGATTTATATCCCGCCCATCTGGTATATTCTACCACCATCACCATCATCAACTCAGTTCTGTGATTGGGAAGTTAAAGTATTTTGAAACTCGCTTTTATGTGTTGCCCTTTCTAATGTCAGACGTGAGTCTGTCTATTGTGTAGAGATTATTTTCTACTCAGAAATAGTCTTGCCAACCCAAGGAGGCCTGCCAAGGATTAGCAGGAGACCTTCCGTTGCAGGAGGGTTCAGGCAAACAGGGAGAAAACAAGCAGGTTCAGCTTCGGACCAACAATATGGTCGCCTCATTTCATGGGATTCCAGAGGCAATTTGCTGCAGTGATGGGAGGGGTGTCTTCTACCCTTTGACAATAGAAAGCTAATGTCCTTCTGGACTTACAGGAAGGAGAAGATGGGCGGGCTCTCTTGAAGAAAATGCAGAGCCTTTAGGGCTGTTTGCCTTCCTGGACCTCCGGGCGATATTTCTAGCGAAAAGAAAAAGAAGGTGACCCAACCTGTCTTGCCTCTCTGCAGGAGGGCTCAATTCTTTCCTTGGAAAGCTGGTGCTGGAGGAGAGTTTTACAGATGCTCTGGACGGCCAGAAAGATGGGACAAGGGGGTCCTAGAGCAAATCAATCTTGAACTCTCTCTGGAGGCAAACATTTTTTTGAAATGGAGGCTGTCCTCTTTAGGGCACCTCACGAGAAGGCAGGAAAAGACAACCGTGCTGGGAAAGGTGGAAGGCACCAGGAGAAGAGGAAGGCCAAATACGAGATGGACTGGCAACCTAAAGGAAGCCACAGGCTTGAGTTTGCAAGAGCTGAGCCAGGGCTGTTGAGGACAGGGCATATTGGAGATAGCTCACTCATGGGGTTATCATAAGTCAGAGGTCACTTGATGGCACATAACAACAACAACAAACAACAACAACAGCAGCACATTTAGAGCTATGTCCCTTACAGTATTTCCTCTTGGGGCCCTGAATCGGTTTGGGCCAGAGGCCATTTCTTCTCAGTCTCTGTTTTTAACCTGTACGTCCCTCCTGGCCAAACATGTTTTCCTTCGTTAAAACTCCCTGTGTTGCGCACACACCCCTACTGCATGGGCTCTTGACAAAAAACTGAAACTCTAACAGGGGTGTCGCACGAACCTGGCCAGTTCGGTCACCCCCTCATAAAGAAAGAATAACCAAATTCTAGCGTAATTCCTCTCCCACACTTTTTTGTTTGTTTGTGTGAATGAGCCACCAGGAAGCAAATACTAGCCAGACCCAGGTCAATTCAGTCCGGCATGTGGCTTTTCAAGCAGGAAAGGAAATCCGTTCATACACATTTGGGGGGGGCCTTCACCCCTAGAGGCTGAATCACAGGTGAGTGAACCACCTTTACCTGTTTGTTTACCATCTTTTTATCCCACATCCCACCTTCCTTCTTAAAAAGAACCTAAGGCCGCCGACATCAGTCAAAGGCAAGTAAGGACTGTATACCAATACGAGCAGGGATCCAATGTACTGTATGTCATGCACACCCCAAAACCACCCTCAAAAGCACCGAAGGGACCCACAGTCCATTAAAAAAAGAAAAGAAAGAAAACCGGGCTCAGGCAGCCCCCGATGAGAAAGGTCTTCACCTGCTCGCGGAAGGACTCAAGCAAGATGCCAGGAGGGCTCGGGCATCTTTTGTAATGTGCGGGTGGGGAAACGGGTGAAGCCCCTTAACATTGTTCATGGATGCCATCCTTTTCCATGAGAGGACCCGTTCCGACGTTTAGTTTGGCGTAACCCAGATCAGGCACTGAAATATTTAATTTAAATTCACAGAAAGGCCCCTGGCCTTCTCCTGCCTTTCGGTTCCAAGCCTTTGGGAGCCTCCAAAGGGGGGAAGAAGACTTTTATAATCTTCTTGACATGACAGCCGGAGGTCCCGATCCTGGTGGCCGAGGAGCAAGCAGGATTCTGCCCATGACTTCAGAGACGGGTCCCAAGAGGTAGCCTCCGCCAAGTCCGTCTGTCTCAGCTGGTGAACAAAATTAATGTGTGTGTCTGTGTGTGTCTCTGTGTGTGGCCACCTTTCCTCACTTGAACGTTGCCATGGCTTCATCATAGGGCGACCGATCCTTGCCGGGAGCTGTATGGCCGAATCCAGGCCTCCTGTTTGGGAGGCCAACACTTTTTTACACCAAAAGCGGACCCCCCCTTCCAGAGGGTTCTTTTGGGGGGTGTTGTCAGGATGGGGAGAGACGCCCCAAGTCCGTCCTGAGCCCAGCAAGGAGCAACCTGGGAGCGAGCGAGTTGCAAAGGGTTTGCTTGG